AATACAACTAACTAGGTGTGATGATGAAAGCTGTTGGAAAAAAAAAAAAAACAGTGATGGAAATTATGAAAAAGTCTTTTTTTACAGAAACAATGCACCTGCTAACGGGGCTGGCAAGAAAATGGATGTTTTGAAGACTCACAAGATGTTGCTTTATCAGTTTCCCATTTGTGAATTTAAAAAGGAAAAAATTTCTAAATAATTCAGAGGTGATAGTAGCAGCAACAGGAGAGCAGTATTTAAATGACCAAAAAACAAAATTTTTCTTGGAAAGGTCAAAAGAAACTTGTGAAACAATGTGTCAAGTGTTTTGAATTGCAAGTTGAATACATAGAATAGCATGTATGATTCATGTCTCTAAGTCATTCCCTTCTTAGTGAAGCAGAAAACATTTCAACATGCCATCAGATTGGAACACATTCCGTTTTTCATGGCTTTAAGTAATTCCTTTCTTGGTGAAGCAGAGAACATTCCAACAGTCCCTTAAATTTGAATGTATTCTTTCTATATTTTTGAGAAAAATCATTATCCTATGATTTGAATTATTAAAATTTTTGAGAAAAATCATTATTGTTTTGTGCACTTCAAGCTAATCTATTCTACATTAGAACCCATGGATGTTTTTTATTTCTATTCTTTTTTGTAAAGAAAAGAATTAGTCTAATATTCAAACAGATTTTTCTGACAATGTGAGTCATCAAAATCATACCACTCCCAGCACCAATGTAATATAGGCATTCCTATATTATGCATGGAGATGCTCTCTAATTCCCTCCCCACTGAACTGACTTAAACATTTGTCTGGAAACATAGTATATGCCATTTCATTCAATTTTCTCATTCTTCAGCAATTCATCTCTTATATGGATTTCATTGCAGAAAGCTGAAGAATATATTGGCTACAAAGTCATGGGGATAATAAAAGCTTTGTTGATCTTGTATTCTTTATTTTGTATTCTTCTGAGAGAGAAAGAAAAAACTAAAGTGCCTGTAGCTATGAGAAAAACCTGTAAATATGATGTTAACTAATTCCACATTCTTACCAACATTTTGGATTCAATAAAAACTTAAAAAATGGTTAATAAGCTTTTAGCACTAATAGTTGGCTACACAATTTTTGTAACCTAATCAAACTACCTCTGGCTGTACTGTTTTCATTTACAGTACAAGTTATTTTATATGACACCTGCTCCTTTGTTGAAAATTGCTAATTTAATACAGAAATTTTTTTTTTTTTTTACTTTTATTTTAATTGATCTTCTACAATGTATGGTTTTCCTATTTTTAATTTATTATCTTATATAAGTACACTTGTCCACTAACTCATTTAGATAACAAAAATACCGTTTTCTACTATATCATAAAAATGTGTCTCTGACTGTTCGTTTTAAAACCTGAATCTTGTTACTTTTTTGTATCTGTTATTTCATTCTACTACAAAATTTTAAACATTTTACCTTTTTCTCAATGTCCAAATGAGATTTTTTTTTAAATATTATTTTTTTTATTATTACATAGATATAACAGATATATAATAATATATAATAGATATTATTTATTATTTTTATTATTGTATTTTTGTTCAAAACATTATTATGAGATTAACATCTAAATATGTTATCAATTTGTTAATTACATTTATGTCTTGATCACTTAATAGGTAAAAGCTGGTGACTTACTAACTTAGAAAAGGAGTTTAATTGGTATTTTCAATAATCTGCCTTGTCAATACAAGTCAGATTATTGAAAGGTTATTTTGCTGCTTGATAAAAAAGTAAATGATCCTTATGAGTATTTTCTGATATAACTTTAAATTAACTGACATTTATAAAAAAAAGAGTTTGTATTGAAAATATAAATTAGTTTTAAAAATGGTCGATAAGCTTGCGTGCTATAAAGTCAACAAAATAACTTCACTGATTGCATGAATTTTTAGTTTCCAAAGATCATTTACAAATGTTATATAAAGACCAATTTATCAATTTTAATATTGAAATTATAAAATATGCCAATGTGGCCATGATTGAAATGCTGTTTGATGAGAATAAGATCAAACATAGATAAATAATATGAATAAATTGTGCAGATTAAATATACATATGCAGATACATTTGTATATAACTGAAGATTTTGATAGCAAATCTTAACTACGTCTTTCAGTAAGTTGATTATACAATTTATCAATTTCTAATGCATATTAACTGTTAGGCTGCAGCTACAGTGGCTTGCAAAAGTCTACACCCCTTTTGAAAATTTATATATTTTGTATAATCTAACAGGGAACAACACATTTTCTCAATTCCAATGATTGCTAAATAATAAAAATTTCCCAGATTCTTAAAATCATATAACTTAGAAAAATGTCTTTGCAAAAGTCTACACCCCCCCCCATATATTATACTGTGTTATCACGTAGTTTATCATTAATGTATACAATCCAGAATAATCAAAAGTGACATGTTCGTTCTACCATAACAAACAAACAAGGCTAGTCTATTATTTTGCTATATAAGGTGATTTAACTACCTACAAAATCATCAGCCGCATGGTTTCTTGGTATGTTAGTCTTTGGACTCTGACTGTAAACACAATGTGTCCAACTCTGGAAAGAAAATGGGCAAGCCTCTGTCTCAGGAACTTAAAAACCTTATCAAAAGTACGATGAAAATAATGGTTATAAAAAATTGCAAAAATTTTAGAATTGCCCCAAGCACTGTTAAAACTGTAGTTAAGAAGTGGTTAGTTCACAAAAGCACTGCTACCCTACTAAGATCTGGGTGACCGAGCAAACTTACCAGAAGAGCAAAATCAAAACTGGTCCAGGAGGTAACCTGAAACACTGGAAGACTTGAAAGTGTTCAGTGTCCAGTACTGGGACAGATGTCCATGCATCTACAATTTCCAGAGTATTGCACCGGTCTGGCCTGCAAGGGAGGGTAGCTATAAAAAGCCCCTTCTGAAGCCTATGCACAAGCAAGCTAGGCTAAACATTGCCAAAAGTCACATCAATGATTCCATGACCATGTGGCGAAAGATTTTGTGATCAGATGAGACCAAAGTCAAGATTTGGAAAAAATACTAAACGCCACGTTTACGGAAAAAAGGCACTGCTCACCAACCTCATTACACCGTCCCCACTTTAAGCATGGTGGTGGTTCGATCATGCTTTGGGACGGTTTTTCAGCTGCAGGGCCTGAAGAGATAGTAACCATTCATGGTGTCATGGACAGTGTCAAGTACTAAGAAATATTGGAGGTAAATCTGCTGAAGTCTGCTAGAGCTCTGTGCCTGGGTCGTAATTTCAAGTTTCAACAAGATAATGACCCCAAGCATGTGTCTAAAAGCACTAAAGCTTGGTTTGCTAGCAAGAAAATCAGTTTTGGAATGGCACAGTCTCCAGACATCAATCCTATAGAAAATCTAAAGCTGGCCAGGCAGCAACGTTCCCCATCCAATCTGACACGGCTCAAGAAGTTCTGCCATGAAGAATGGCAAAAACTGTCAGTAGACCACTGCAGCAAGCTCGAAGAAGGCTACCCAAGGCGTCTGCAGGCTGTAATTGACACAGCAAGATCATCCACAAAGTATTAGCTGAAGACATTCCAAAGCGGGTGTAGACTTTTGCAAAGACATTTTTCAAAATTGTCTTTGTTTAAGAATCAGTTTTAAATTTTTCAAATGTATTTTGTGTATTAAATAAAAGTGTGATAGATCTGCTTATTAAAACAAATTATTGGAGTTTAAAGTATTAATTGTTCCTATCAAAATAAACAAAATACATCCAGTTTTCAAAGGGGTGTAGACTTTTGCAATGCACTCTATATAAACAAAGGCTTCTATGCACTATTTTATCATCCAGTCATGATCATGGCCGTCCACATCATGTTAAGCAAAAAAATATCAAAAGTATCTAATTTTTATTATCAAAGAAGAGCATATTCTTTGTCCATCACAAAGTCTGTATATGTGTTGTACATGAGTGACTTACATGTACTTGTGTCATTTAATGTATACATACACAATTTGACTAAATTTAAATAATGCATTCACTCTTCCGGCTCGGTCTGGACAAACCCTGCCCTGTGCAGAGCAATAAAATCAAAGTTGCAAACAAAAAAAAAAATAATTCAAAAAATAAAATCAGACATTTATAAAGTTTTATTCAACTCTTCAGAAATTAATAATAAATAGAATAATTTCAAGGTTTTTTTTTTCTTTTAATTTTTTAGAATATTTTTAGGTCTTGAATTAAAATATACATTAACACACAATTTGAATGAAACTGAAATGGCCATCCGTTTCACAACAACTAATTTTCCTTTCTGTCTCGCAACAACCTCTGGGTAACAGGAAAAGTGTATAAAACACTTTGAAGTAATTTTCAACTCCTGTATTTAAACTGAATATATATTTTTAATAAATGAATTTTAAATCTGAAATTTGATCGTCCAACAGGTACCAAACTAATGAAGCCATAAATTCTACAAAGTTGTATAAAATAATTGTACATTTCATAATTAATTCATAGGTTCATTTATACTCATTAAATAATATTTTTTTAAAACAATCTATCGGGAAGATTCTAACAAAAGAATACTGAACTAATCTAGCAGATCATTGTTTTCTGCCATTAGACAAAGCTTAGTAAATACCTATAAGTGTGTTATGTTAAACAAGGAAAGCACTTTCCTCATTTGTTACATAAAGATTTAAAGTTTATTCAGATTGATTCATTTTCTATGGCTCATGAACACGTTGCAGATTTAATGCCAGAAAATATTTTTAGATTATCAGAATTTTTATTTTATTTGAGATAATAATGGTTTAGTGATACAAGTCATACTAATTAACCCATAGCTGAGGGGAGAAGAGGTGAATTCATATCTTTCCCAAGGGTATTTTGCATGTAAGTGAATATAACGAACCCAATGGAAATTGAAACTCAGCACTCCGATTAACAATTCTGTGGCATCATCCATTACACTACCCACACATCAAAGCTTACAGCACCTGGTATTTCCAAGTGGTTACCTATCTAGGTACTGACCAGGATCAATGTTGCTTAACTTCAGTGACTGTATGGAAACTAGTGTTTCAATTTGGTGTGGCAGTAAGCAATCATTATTCAGTGATAGAGGTATGGGGTTTTATGAATGGAGCATTATTGAGCTATGTTTTTTTTAAAATCATAGCATAGTAACATTTTTTTTTTTAAGGCAATTCACCCCAAACAAGGGAGGAGTCTCACTAACACATAAGGGGTTACAGAGGATTGAGAACAAGAGGCGTGTTTGAGGAAAGGATACAGAGAAGGACTGGGAACAAGCTCAGGGTGTCAGATGTCGATTGACATTACACTTGAATATCTGAAGATTATAGTTATCAGGGAAGCAAGTAAGAGGAAAGGAGTTCCACAGACAGGAAGTGTCGGAGAAGAAGCTGTTTGAGAAGAAGAGACGATTAACACTTAACCGTTTTGACAGTGAAAGGGTGGGATAGAGAAGCCAGACTGGTAGCTCATTTAAATTCATGTAGTCCAGGAACCAGCGAAAGTAGCTTGTCAGAACAGTTGCTGTGAAAATATTTAGAAGGCCACAGCACATCTGTGGAATAGCGGTTGTAGACTAGATGCCAGATAAATGAGAAAACAAAAAATATACAAATTATTGATTATAGTGATATTCCAAGCATAGCTTAGATGTGGCATAAGGCCGAAAGTAGTGGGTACCCAGTGAGGATCAAACTCACTACTCAGTCGTAATTGTTCTAGCAAAACAAGCTTGCTAACCAGTACACCACCTCCATTTTCCCACAAATTATTGATTATATAAAGAATGAGAGATTCATGATTTTGATTGCATAAATTATTTAAAAATTGTAAAGTCTGCTTCCTATATTTTAAAATCAATTTCAAATATTTATAAAGTCTTAACATTACTCGCTAACAATTTTCTTCGCGATGATAAAATAGATTCTAGCCAAAATTGTAGAAATTATATTCAGTTACATTGTCTATTTTAATTTTTCTGCATTGCTCAACTGACCCTAATCTCTATGTCTACTTTTCTTCACTAAATTTACAATATTAATCTTCTTTGTTTCACAAAAAGATAAAAAATGATGTTCATCATCACTATCCATTAATTACTGAATATGATTGCTCAACTTAAAAGGAAAAAAGTGTCAAGCACAAATGTTGAAGATAATCCAAGAGGAGATTCTGGCAATAAAAATTAAAAAAATGGGAGCGGGGGAAAAAAAAAAAGAAAAAACAGAAAAATAGTCTGAACACAAATAATTGGAAGTGCTTGCTCCTTTTTTTTCTCTATTTGGAAGCAGCAGCTAAAACATAGCTTTACAAGTTGGTTTCCATCAAAGATTTTAATTAACAATGAACATTCAAGTTCTTAAAGGATTTTTCTGAAGAATAACTGCAAGAAGCAACTTGACTTTTAGAAGAAATAATTGACAAGATGGCATGTAAAAAGAAAAAAGATAATCCTTTGGTCACATTGCAAAATTCATGTTGCATCACAGGCAGAATTAAGCTAAACACAAACCATACTTTAACCTTATTGCACACATATTGCCAAATAGGAATTTATCAAAGTGATTTTCAGATTCATTGCAGAGAAACAATTTCAATAAATTTAAGTAAATACATTCATGCAGTTACAAAAATAAGATACAGCAATGTTATTTATATATATATATATATATATATATATATATATATATATAATTATAGATAACTAGACTCGTTTTGAAAAACCCTCAATTTTTGATTTGCTAATAATCAACTCAATCTCGAGGAGGAAAAAAGTTTTAAAAAAAGAAAGAGCTACAAACATGAACTTCTGTCGACAAAAAAATCCCATTTATTGTCCTTCCACCTTGATGTTTGTTTTTTTTTTTTCCCCCCCCCCCCATTTTTGTTGAATAAAAATATTTAAACTTAGGTTTGTGTTTGTGGTTCTTTGGTCACGTGGTATAATTTTAGCTATCGCCTATAAATATGCGTTTCTCTTTGCCTCGCCAGCCTTACTTTCCCTGACGATCCGTTAAGGTGAAACCTAGGTAGGTTTGTCTGGCTCACTAGGTGTGTGTGTGTATATATATATATATATATAGCTTTTTGAATTTGTATGTCTGATGAACTGGATTGTGATTCCGATATAATAAATTATAACCATGGAATATTAGTGTTTGTGCCTTATATATATATATATATATATATATGAATTTGTAGTCACTCAGCTGACTGGTGTTACCTTCAGTATCTAGATCCTAGAGTTTCATAGATGGACCCTCCAGCAATCACCCTGTCCACTTGTCAGGGGATTACCATTTGAGTATTGAGGCCTCACAACAAGCCAAGACAGCTTATAGTCACATCAGGTTGAAACACCGGTTTGCATACAATCAATGAAGTTAAGCAATGTCAAGCCTGGTCAATACATAGATGGGTGACTATATTGAATACTGTAAGCTTGGATGTGTGAGTGGTGTAATGGACAGTTGTTTCAGAATTGTTAATCAGAGAGCCAAGTTCCAATTCCAGTCAGATTTATTATATTCACTCATGTCCAAACAACCTTGAGAATGGTATGAATCAACCTCTTCCCCCCAGTATTATTTCAAAAAGAAAGAAAAAAAATTCCTACAATCTAAAAATATTTTTGAGCTTTAAATAGCCTGCAAAATGTTGATAAGTCATAAAAAATAAAGCAACCAACCAACAACAAGCCAGAGCAGTTAATGTAGCTTTTCATTATTTCATTTTTTTTCTATACGACAAAAAGTTATGAAAACAGTTGGTAGCATATATTGTAGAAATTTATGCTTTAAAAACAATGCTTCATGAACACAAAATGGTATCAATTTCATATTTTTCTTTAATATAGTTCCTAAAAGAACTGGATGGTCACAGGCAGAACTTTAAAGACAAAGAGGAGAAAAAAAAAAACATTGGATGGGTAATTACTGGGGTTGGAAACAAAAAAAAAAAAAAAAAAAAAACTGATGAAATATTGAGAGAATTTGAAGATATGAATCATAATTTGTGTTTCTAAGCAACAGGTTGCTAAATTGAAATGAAGCATAGCAACTACTCAAAGTGCTTCTAATCATTAAATTATGCTCTATAATATCCTGTGTTTGTTGTCATGAAATAATGCATGAGACAAAATATTGCTGAAATTTAGAGCCATGTATAAAGTAAGAGAAAAAGAAAAATTAAATTAGCTGTTGGAAAAAGATTATATAGAATGCTTAGAAAGTTTTATATGTTCATCTATATTTTTCTTTTGCAAGGAAGTTTGCATTATTCATTAGGTATCTATACAAATTTTGTTTTCTACAATTGTACCTACTGTGACTTGCTCCAGTTGTTACAATTAAAATTATTATTTTCTTTTGTTGACAAGGGTTAATTTCTGCAGCTAAAGACGAATTTTTGGTTTATGAGACAAAAATCCAAACTTCTTTAAATGCCATTAACACAAAACAAACATTTGGCTTTGAATGCAAAATGAAAGTAGAACAGTGTAGAGAACTTAATTTTTTTATTTTTGTGATTAATGACACTATTTGGAAAATTCTTCATGTAAGAATACAATGTGTTTGTTTAAAGTTTCTTCAACATGCTTGAAATGTTTTCTGAATTTCTGGGATGAGGAGTTATTATTATTGACACTATTTATATCCAGACTATTGTCCTCATCTTCCCAGCAGGTTATCCAGATTGATATACACCTGAGGAAGGTCAGAGAGTGTAACAGCTGAAACATTGTGATATATTGGCAATGATAGAAAGTAGAGAGAGTAGGAGGATGAGACACAAGGCGTTTGAAATGGTAAGCAGGTAAAAAGCTTAAAAAAAAAAGAAGTGGTGAAAAGGCAGTGGGCGCCTGTTGATTGTGAAAAACAACGATATTCAATGTGATGGACAGTTGATGAGGTGGGGGAAGAATTAAAACTCCTGGCCAACTTAACAAAAGCCTCATCATGACAACGTCTTGACAAAGACAATTGTAAAGAACTGACTTAACGGAGATTTGAACCATGTGTTTGCTTGGATTATGCAATAACGCGCCAAGAGGTATATCGTGAAAATACAAACAATGAAAAAAAAAAAAAATCAAAGAGACAGAGAAACTGATCTCAAAATTAAAGGAGAATATAAAAATTGAATAAAAACAAAGTTGAAAAGAATGGAAGAGATATAAAAACAAAAAGCGAGTGGGAGAGATTCCAATAATAATAATAATAATAATGTGAAGAATCAACATAAGTTTCGTTTGCTTCACCCTTGCCCTCGTTGATAAATGCTCCATAACCCCCACTAAAGTTTGCATACACCATTCCACAAAGGAAAGAGAGAAACTTTGTTGATTCGACCTCATTGATTTTTGTGGCGTCAAACTATCGATCTCTGATTACTGTATATATTTTCATAGTCATTCTTTTGTTCTGTTCTTGTTTTTGCGGTTAACTCATTTGCTATTACAAAAAATGTTACCTAGACATCCCCAGAGTTTGTCTTGTTATTTAATGAGTTTTGAACCATCAGAAAGACCAGTCATTTTATGTTTTCTTTTATTTTTATATACAATATTGTTAACGTGTGCTGAAATTCTGTGCGTCCACAACTGTGTCAATATTTGGCAAGAAAATCTTTCTCCCTAGGCTAAAATGTGTTGCGGTCACATGACAAATGTTCTGTATATGTTCACACTGAGGTATTGGAATATAGACACAAGCGATCGTACGTATTTTTTTCCTCAAGTAATATAGTATTAACAAATTGTTAAGAATAATTGATTTTTTCAGATTCAAGTCCTACTATTTAACACAAAGCTGGGTGTAGAAGATGGATTCATACGTCCAGAGAAGATCGAACTAACACACATATAAAATCAGGCATGGAGTTAACACCATCTGCAATAAACTGCCAGATTATTATGAAAGTCAATATTTTTAAAAGTCATCTTTGTAAACATACTAGATTCATGTCAGCCGACCAGTGATTCATTGTTTTTCTAGCAACATTTCTTGGCATAAAACATTAAATAAGCAAAAATGAATTCTTACTTGATAACAAGTTGATA